TCAATGTGATAAACTATTAGCATGGATATTTAAGGTAAAGAGTGAAGTCTATTTGTTACTAGTTGTAGTAGATCAGCTCGCATTCGAAATGAAATTTAATAAGAAATAAATAGAGAAGGGACAAACAGATAATAATTTGGAGCCAAGGTCCTAATAAAAACACAGCAAACACACAATGTCGAATAGAGGAAAAATCAAAACAAGCGAAAATATTCTTGTTTGTGTACGTTTCTCGGCCCCATTCATTCATAGCGCTCGATCATTTCATCTCAATTCGAATATCAAACATATCTCGGGCGTTAAATGATGATGAGGTAGTTGTTTAGGAGGACTAACAGTAATTTGAAGACCGGTCCCTACTGCATGTTTGTATTCAGTACAAAATACAATTGTATTGACACCTCATTACATATATCAATTAAACATCAACATGTTTATATAATTCAGTGATATCACTTAATAAGTGTCCGAAGTGTATAACCGGGAGTATGGTTTTGATTGACATCCTGGTAAACAACATATTTGTTGATTTCGGTGGCTAGAAATTCCTGTGGACTGTAGGCATTACTATGACCACTCTTCTGGCCGACTTGTTTCTGTTTTCATATGAGGCTGAATTGCTTGATGAGTTTAACAGCCCTTGGGACCAGAAGCATTATTTTGGAGTATGTTTTGTGAAAAGGGCATCAGGGGCTAAAATGGAATATACTGAGTGACATAATGAGAACGATTGAGTTGCTTGTTGGCAATGTCTTTGCCGAGTTCGGTGGACAGATGTTCTAGTAGACTGCAGGCATTCGTATGGGAACAAGCTGTTTCCCTTTCTTTCTGGCCACACGTCCTCAAATGACCCTGGCTGTTGCGGGGACGGGAAACCCCAAACAAACAAACAAACAAACAAAATCTTCTGGTAAACTTCTTTCTGTTTTCATATGAAGCTGATTTTATTGATGAGCTTATCAGAACTAGAAACAAAAACCTAGGCGCGTCGTTCAATTTCATATTCAGATACATGTATATTGATTATCGGGTTCTTTAAACATCATTAGGTGTATTTACGGCGTATATCGTATGCATGTACACCCTCCTTTACTTTAAATAAAGGACACTACAGACTCTTCAACTTCAGCTGATTTTCTCGATCTTTATTTGTAACATCAACACCACGGACCGCTTACTACGCTTTTACGATAAGCGAGACGATTGGTATTTTCTGGTCGTGAATTTTCCCTTTCTTGATAATAACACCCCTGCGTCCAAACCCTCCGGTATGTATATGTCGCAGTTGATTCGGTATTGAGGAGCTTGCTCCGAATATCATGACTTCAGTGATATATATTGACTACTGATGGACAATCTTACAACAAAAGGTTCCAAAAATGCTGGTTGATGAAGACTTTGGACAATCTTTATGATCGCTATTTGTGTGACTCGACCGTTCACCTACTTGTGTTGTTGGTTATGCAAGAATGTGTGCAGGTGGGAAAAAGTCATAGCAAATCATTCGTAATGGATCTCGATAACGGTTTATGATGTATTATCTTACAGAGTGATGATTGACTGCTTCCACGTGAGCAAGTATCGTAATTTATCCATTAAACCCTGACTTTTAAGATACATATCGAACTTGTTTTGCTTTAAGGCCTTGTTTGTTTATTTTGTTTCTATTTGTTTTGGGTAAACGTTCTCCCCAACAGCCAGGGTCATAAATGAGGACGGGTGCTCAGGGAGACACCCGCGGAAAGAGAGGTAGACAGAAAAGAAAGAGGCCAGGAAATATACGAAACGAAATCAAAGGCCTTGGCAATATTATCACGTTCGCACAGCGCTGTGCAATCTACTATTCCTTGGGTTTTCCTATGTACGGGTATTATTAGTATTCAACAACGAATCTGAGCTTGATATCAATCTCACTTTTGACGACGCATAGATGTAAACTTTGTTGAAAACATTCGGGAATAACACTGGGACATAGGGTTACCTTAAATGAACCCAACACTTTGAAAACATTTCTAAAAATGCATCAAAACGAATAGGAGACTCGCCTCGACTGAAAGATATTTTTATAGTAAATATTTTTAACAATATGTTACAAAGAATATATTATAATCTACGATCAACTTCTCACTACCATCTACTGCTAGACTATGCAAGCCTTTTCTCTAAACACTCAAAACATGATAACATTGAAATATGAAAGCAAGAATTTCAACAATACTATCTTGTGGATAATCGCAAACCCAATATCCTAATTGACCAGAATAAGACATCAAAGTAGAACGATAAGGATGTAGAAATACTCTTTCTTCCTCAACAACATAGCATACACACAAGAAGGTCCAATCAAAAACGTTTAATGTCGTAATCGTTATATTTCAGATTAAACCCGTCTATAACCACGCCTACTTTTTCATATGTGTACATGTTTGTAATATCCATTTGATATCTCTCTGTAGGCCTGTTCCTAAAGTCTGTCTGTTCGTCTGTCGCATGACAGCCCATGTACATGTAAGTTCAGTAAATGTCTGTCTGACACCCGTCCTCGACATTCATGGGGGTTACGCTAACTGGGGTTACGCGTAAGTGAGCGTAACCCCTTGAATTTCGAGAATGTTTGTCATTCTGGTAAAAAATACTTTAACTGTCTCGGTTATGGAGAATGTTCAAGCCCGTGTGGTAGCTAACGCATAAGACTAGTATTATGCAAAGGTCTTAGGTTTGACCCTAGTGGAGGCATTGGAAAAACGATGACCTCTTTTATATTTGTATGTGATTCTACTTTGTGTCACTGCAACCAGAAATGCGACAATTACTTGTCAACCTCTTTGTTTTTCACCTTATAAATGAATTTAATGGTTTGATACACATAACCATATTTCACTGTATACATATTGTTTTACACAGGAAAGAGCGCCTATGATGTTCATGTAACTTGTGTGCAATCCCGTCGCTGTTAAAAATGGCAACAAACATGGCGTCATCTTGACACGTGACAAGATTACCTCACCTGGAACAATTATGTACTAAAATAAATGTTTACATACATTTGAGTGACACACAACGTGTCTGGCAACAGTGATAAATCAATGGGTTGTTAAGCTTACTGTAATTAGTTTTCGTCTTTTTTGTTATATTGCATTTTTCATCATTACGGCTCGTGTGATGAAAACTATTCGATACGTTTCATGATAAAAGATATTAGAATATTATGTACTATGGCCGGTGCTTGCCGTTACAAGACGAAATTATCTATATGACGTGCTAATTAAAATAGTCCTTTATAACCAGAAACCCGGTGTACAAGATATGTGACAACAAGAAATAATAAAGAATTGTCTAATTTAGCCAAATATCTGAACCAATATCAAAAAAGGAGATGCAATACTGTTTAAGATTAAAGGAATCACTCTCTACACTTTCTCTGTGATTGTATCGTGTATGCATGGTCGGAAGGTTGTATTCTCTGTATTCTCATGTACTGTACAAGATGGATGTGACATAGAGGTCCAGTGACATTTGATCGCTTGGAAAAGAATGACTTACAAGTTCATTAATATGTACTGTATAGTTTGCACTGTATATATGCCTGTACTGATAAACCACAAGGTTTAAGGTGATAAAGAATGAATAAATATCCCTGGTGCAACCAGTGAAAATTTGGTATTTCTAATTGTAGTCTTAACATCTGACTCATTATCTGTTGGGAAAACGTGAGTACATGTCAATTCCGTCTTTGCGTATTGCAGAGTTATCTTCTCTTGAGAGCAGGTATTGATTGTTAAGTCATTGGTTTGTGTGTGAAAATTACGTCGTTTTCTCAAAAAAATGATGACGTTACTCTCAAAAACAAATGACGTAACAATCAATACCTGCTCTCAAGAGAAGATAACTCTGCAATACGCAAAGACGGAATAACAGGGAGCTATATCGGGTAACATTTCATTTAGTCTTTATATATATATAATAAATATATAATATAAAAAGAAAAAAATCTCAACAAAGAGTTTTTAGTGCTTTTTCATTTCAACATATTTTATTGACATAGAAGAATGTTACACTGACAAAAGGATTGGACAACAGGCTTATAGCCTATATAAGTCCTCTCCATTGATGGTAGGTATATGGACATAATGGATTGATTTTATAATAATAAGATTTTGCTTATTGTCAAAAATTAATCATTGTAAATCAGTAACATATTTAGTTTTTAGTGCTTTCATCTCAAAGTGACTCTTATTTATATATATAGAATAAAAACAGTAACTTTTCAGATCGTCCGCTAGGCCTTTCTGCCATCTAGGGCTTCTTCGGGCGGATTGATCATCATATATATATATATATAAACCCCACTTTGATACTCAACGAGTAATAATATTACTTCAGAGATAAAATTAGAATATATGACAAGCCTTTATCCTCTCTATATATGTTTTATACAGTTTTAGCAACATCATTAAAGAAAAAACGTGATTAATTTCACATATGTTCAAGATCTTTCAACAGGTTAGAAAAGCTTACAATAAGTGTAAAAACAAAGACGTATACAATAAAATTACCCTTTCGTAGAAAATGGGTTTGGTACTGTTTCAAAATTACTAGTGATAAATATCGATTTGCTGGCAGAAGATAAATCGATATTCAATGTCTGAATAAGTAATAAATAAATTATGTGTGAATATTTCGTAACTCTCGGGTTATAATTTAGGACGAACCTCCGCGGTCTGCCCCGCCCTAACCCGTACATGTACACAAACGCATAAACCGGTATAGTGTTCTATAATAAGTTTAAATATTTTCTCAACGCATGGCTGAAGGTTGAAGGTCAATATACCTCGAATAAAGAAAGATTAATCTTAGCAAGGGACATCGGTTCAACGTTAACTTTCTTAAACCCTACACCCAATCAACAAACAGTTCATGTTAGCAGAACTGGGCGCTGTTCATTTGAATATGAATGAAACCCGTAGGAGTCACATGCTCCATATATAGCAAGTGCGCGAGATCACGGGTCACTTGTCCACCGGCACCCGGCTGGCGACACACAGTATATACACATATAGACAGGAAATATCTGTCAACATGAGGGGTACCGTACTCCCCCTTACTCTGGGGATTTTAATTCTGGGGACTATCCCGGGAGTGACATCCGATTCACACGGGGGTACACACGTAGTGGAACCCATGAAAGAAATGCCGGACCCTTTCGATGCCCTGGAAGAAATAATTGGTGCTCGGAAGGCTGCCGGTAAGTGATCAGAATTTCAGCCCATGCGTACATATACCTGTATTGTAGCACTGATGCATGTTCATCTGATTATTGTGTGCAGCCACCCGGAGTATATGCATGCCATCCCATGTTTAGGGTCTGGGTAGCAGGCGCGTGCATGTGTTATTATAATCAATAATGTCGATATAGTTTTAATCGTTATATCATGGCGAAGTATATACATTTTTTATAAGACAAGGGCGGATAAGTGTCGTTTGCTGGCTATAACTATATGCACCGTTGTTATCACACGTACAAGAACAACAATAGATCTACATGTGTTTATACAAAATGTATGGTATTTTTGTAGAGTCTACATGTAGTAGTTCTCAAAGAGTTAAATGAACCGTGACACTGGAAATAAACATCCCAGAGAGAAATTTACATCACTATAGACCGAGTACCGGCACGGGGTTAGTGAAATGTATCAAGTGTATAGGAAATTTAGTAGTCCACATACTGTAGGCAAATCCGTTGTAGTGTCACTGTAAGTAACATTTTATATAGCTTTATGGACATTAATTTCACCCTGAAAACCGTACTTCGGACAGACCAAATTTCCAATTGGGTATATCGGTTATATTATGCATATATAATTTTATGGTATACGCACGAAATTGGCTATGTTTGCAATGCTTCCATGTGATGGACTTATGCAATTTATCGGTAATCGGGCCGGGATTACCAAATAGGTATATTGGTTCCGTACAGTAGAATGTGTTATATTGGGTATGATGTGTCCTATTATGGTGTATTCGAGAGCAATACATGTGCAATGGGGACGGGAAAATGCACGGCCAAACCGGGAATCGAACCCGGGACCCTCGAACTCTAAACAAACGTTCTACTAATTCAGTTACCTGGTCGCCGGCGGTCGGCCCAGTCCAGCTATATAAACCAAAACACACGGTAATAATCACCCCAAATGATGTGGTATAAACCCTTAAACATGGTATAAATCCATAAACCCGTTGGGATATGTCCGAAACAAACCTCCTCTTATGCTCAAGCATAATATCTTGTTGCGGTTAAAAAGGAATAAGAAATCTTATTTTGTCGATAATCTAAAAAAAAATATGAATTTACTTTCAAGCCAGACAATGTTTTCAATATTTACAATTTAAGCGTGTTACAAGAAAATTGATTTGAGCACAGAATCCATGCTTGAGCTTGAAAACGGTTTCATGAATACGGGCCCAGTTCTCAAGTCCATGTGTGCCCGAATTTCAACCGCTGTTCCGATAGGGTTTTGCCAAGTTTAATTTGATTAAAAATGATAGGCCTATATTTCAGTGGCTTACCTGGTTCTTAGGACATTTTGCGTTTATATTTGTGAGTTGCGTCCCGTATGTTTTAGTTATCGTATAGGTAGGACATAGATTTAAATAATTAATAATTTCGTGACTGTCAACAATACAGTCACTCTTGTGCATCTTTCCGTGATGTTAGTTATCAATAACACTTCCTGTTGAGCTCTTTCGAAAAGGATGATTCTGTAAACGAGTATTTTCTCGTTTATGAAAATACTCGTTTACAGACAGATAGATGTCTGGTGTTGGGACCCCAAATCTATCTATTTTTTTTAAGTCTGGTGCCAGAGCCAGAGAAAACTGGGGCCCCACACCAGCTGTCTGGTCAAAATGTCTAAGTCTGGTGTCAGGGCCAGAGGAAACTCGGGCTAAGAAATTCCACTGTAGTATTTTGTACATACAGTAGCCTCCTCCTCGTTATCTAAGTTAGGATATGACTGTTCTATAACCTTATAAAACTGAGGGTTACGAGTTTTTTTTTGTATAGACAATCGGATAAAAAGTGTTGCTATTATTTACCGATGTGGATACGTGTATTATTAACCGAAATAATTACAATTTACATAAAATGTTAGTCAAAGTCCCGAAACCGAGCCCTGTGGTCTTACACATAATTAGCTATGTAGTAACAAGTTCTCAACAAAGCCCAAAACAACTAGTCAAAATCTAAACTTGCTACATTTCTCCACAGGGGTTCATTACAAATGTCTGAAATACACACTTTCTGTTTATGTGTGCTGTGACCCATACCAGTATAGTATACAGTAACGAGATTTCAGCAAAGTCCTCACGATGCTAAAATCGATACGTTTGTCTTTAAGAAATTCATCAAACAAATTCAGCAGCCCATTCGCCACGAGACTAACTCAACTGCTAAACTCATGAAATCGACCACAGCAATACAAACGCGTATGTATTCAGTACAGTTAATACATACGACAGTATTATTGACCGGTATAAACAGCATTGTTTGGTTTCATGAAATAGACAAACACGTCGATTTCCTGAACACCTGTATGTAGTGCAATTTATAACAAAAATGAATAAAAAAAATCCTATTTAGGTCAAAATCCGCTGGTTAGTTACATACCTGTTATCTCCGCGACGGCTGCTGAAATTCAACCGTATCCTTGGGTGTCGTATATAATTTCAAGTCTATGAGTTTCACGAGCACCTTATGTTTCTTGTATAGAAATACAGAAATAGTATATCGCTTCAAGCAGGTTTGAAGCTGGGGATCAAATAATATGCATTCATGATTTGGAGATACAATTGTATATGAAGTGCTTGCCGAGCGAACCGAATATCTCATTTAAGACACTTTCCAAACCAAAATAGATGCTTTATGATTCATATAAATATTTCATATTTCTAAAATGGAGTTAAGAGAAAATACTGGTTTCTAAAGTTGGGCAGAGATAGGGTTTGGTGTCTGGGTCTGGCTTAGCTGACGACGAGAGATTGTTTTCATATATTGCGAGGCAGAGGAGGCCGGGTATCAATATTAGTACTAGGTCTGGATATGCCATAATCCGAAACAAGAAACCTCTTTTAAATATGTTTGATGGGTCGGAGAAATAGTTAAGACTACATGCACCAATGCACTCGAGTACAGCTACAAAAGCAGAGAGGGATAATAAATAAAATCGTTTACAAAACTGTGTTCAACATTTTACTTGATTAAAGTCGATCGAGTGCAGCGAATAAAAATTTAAAACATTTTTTACTTTTCTTTTGTTGTGCATACTTATTATTTGCATAAATAGCAGTAGGTTACGTCTATACTTTTAGATAGATAGATAGATAGATATCAAGAATTAGCATGCACACGTTATACTTTGCAGAAAGCGGTGTTATACGTTAGTTTTCAGAGCAGGTTGTAAGGCGTGTTGTGATATTAACTTTCCGTTTACCGATAATTAACCGTTTTCTGATGACCTCGACACTCAATTATTGAGCTGAAATGACAATGCCGTCTTTTAAAGACTTGTAACGTCTTGTTCTTTCTTTACGTTCAAAACGACATAATTTCCTTTCTCAGAACTTTCTTTAAATCGTATTTACCTGTAAAAGTCCCTTCCGACCCCGATACACACGACTCCGTTCAGGCCATACCCGCCTGATTTATGTGCTTGGTAGCCGCTAATTGCTTAAGTCATTTAACAGTCAAGGACGACATTTGTTCCGGATAATGCCTCCTGCTGCCTTCCTTTACCATGGGAAAATCCAGTAGCCCGTGATTTTAAATCTATGTATTTTTTTCATGAGCGTGGCTTTAAGGTTCATTGTAAAGAATTTAAACGTCTTGATAATTATGATCATGTTATGTTCGTTGCTTTCTATCTGCTGTATTTACGGAACAGATTTTAAATCGAAATGAAAAACTAACGTAGAAGAAGCTGCATAAAGTCTCAATAAAAAGAGCTAATAATCGGGAACCGTCGGCACTTTCCGTAAACGAGAAAATACACTATACAGTGTATCCTATACCTTGGTGCATGATAGAGTATTTTTCTCTCATTCCAACTACCAGAATAAGAGCAGAAACCATGAAAATGCGTTTGGACTGGCTACCATTTTGAAAAATACCGAAAAATTCCTGTGGTCATTGTAGACGAAAACGAATCTAGCATACCCCATATTTGCAAACAGTATTGTCACGTCACGTCACGTGAAATGAGGTGTAAGATATAAATTTCCTAAACCCCTTTCTTACCCTGGACAGCTCTATCTTACACATGGAAATGAGAGAAAAAACGGTATTAAAAAACACGACAGCTATATAGGACAGTAGTACTATGCAACTGACCGCCATCGGCTAAATCTAATCACAAGGATCATATATTATTCAGGTTACCGTCTCTATAGACATTCTACAAAACTAAAAAAGTTTACGTCACAGGGACATGAGAGTTAGGAACAGGACGTATTATTGGCCCCGTCTGATGTACAGAGAGTACAATTAGACATTTCAGTGCATGCGTTCGTTCTGTGAGAAAGCCACCCACCCTTCCTATAATGTGGGTTTTATTTTAATTTCATTATCAATGTTGATCTCAACCCCCAAAACGCCTACTTCCACACCATACACTCTGTATCCGATTCTCAGGTCCCTGTGATTCAGTGTCACGAGTACGTTACCAGGGCTGTAAATGTTATTTTCGGACAAAAATTATGCTACATATAAAAGCTGTGTAATATACGTGGGATGGAAAACACAAAAATTCAAATAAACATCGGCATGCTATTGACACGATCGAGCGAACAGATTAAGTCTGGATTAAAACACAGGGACATTATAATTTGTAACAGTAACATGTATATTGGGACCTTAAACTGAGGTATTCAGAGTAATTTTACAGGTTTGGATCAACCTTTGTTAAAAATGCTTACCCAAGTGAATTTTTCCGAAAGTTGATTTGAAACATATAAAATTACTCTAAACACCTTAGTTTAGGCCCAAATACATATGTACCAAATTCGCAGGTCCCTGCGGATTAAAACACGTAAATGTTAGAGTGCCGAGAAATAGATAGTATAGATACCACATTCAATGAAAACAAATTTTGTTTGATGATATTCTGTATATCGAACGATCTCTCTTGCTCTAAAGCTGCGTGATTTCGTCCATGATCCACCTGTAAATTTACATTTACCCACTTTGAATAC